TTTTTTTTTTTTTTTTTTTTTTTTTTTTTTTTTTTTTTTTTTTTTATCAGCAAACAAAGGTGCTAGACTGAGAAGCAAAGGGGCAAATTGTAACTGAGACAGGGGCACTTCCAAGGGTCCAGAGGGTCCATCACAGAGAGTCAGGAAGGACATCCCAGAGAGGATGACCTAGAGGAGGCTCTGGCAGGGAATCAGGTGGCGAAGGCTCTGGCTACAGGGTGGGGCACAAGAGTGGCCGGAGGGACTGGGAGGTGGCTCAGCACTTGGGAGCACTGGCTGCTCTTCAGAGGTCAGAGGTCAGTCCTCCACCCCCACATTAGACAGCCCACAGCCATCTGTAACTCCAGCTCCAGGGGATCTGCCACCCTCTTGTGGCCTCTACAGGTATCTATACTCATGTACACATACCCGCAAGCAGATACATACATACATACACATAACTAAAAATAATAAAATAACTAAAAAAAAAGAATGACTAGGGGCTGGAGAGCTGGCTCAGTGGTTAAGAGCACTGGTTGCTTCTCCAGAGGTCCTGAGTTCAATTCCCAGCAACCACATGGTGGCTCACAACCATCTGTAATGAGATCTGGTGCCCTCTTCTCACCTGCAGGGATACATGTATACATAATAAATCAATAAATCTTAAAAAACAAACAAACAAACAAAAACCCAAAGAGGTACATATATTAATATTATACAGCTTCAGTGCAGCATAAGACTTCCCTGATACCTACCCAGTGGTCCAGGCTGAGAACCCTGAGTAGGACAAGGCCATTTGTAAGATCTCTTAAAAATAAATCAACTTAGCCGAGCGGTGGTGGCGCCCGCCTTTAATTCCAGCACTCGGGATGCAGAGCCAGGCAGATCTCTGTGAGTTCAAGGCCAGCCTGATTGAGATCCAGAACAGGAACCAAAAAGCTACACAGAGAAACCCTGTCTCTAAAAACAAAAAACAAACAAACAAACAAAAAAAACCAAACAAATGAACGAACTAACGAACAAACCATACACAACTTCCATCAGTTACCACAAACAACTCTGAGCACCCTGTCTCGAAAAGAAAACAAACAAACAAAACAAAACTAGTTCATGCCTGTACTCCTAGCATTTGGGAGGCTTGGCACACTGAATTGGAGGCCAGCCTGAGGGGCAGCTATGAAACCCTATTTCAACCCCACCCTGCGGGGGGAGGAAGCAAAAAACCAAACTTGAGTCAGGAATGGTGATGTAGTCATGTGTCCCTGTGTATGGAAGAATGAGGGACAAGACAAGAAATAGTTCAAGGACAGCTTGCACCACAGAGCAGAGCACAGCCCTGTCTACAAATGAACAGATTTCCAAGATATTTTCCCCTGGAACAAGGTCTCACCACATGGCTCAGGCTGGCTTTGAATTGACATCCTTCTGCCTCAGCTTCCTGAGTGCTGGGATTGCAGGTGTGTACTATATGATCTGTTCCTAAGGATGTTTATCTTCCTGGTCACTTTATTACTACTTGGTACATCACACTATATTATAGCTAGATGTGTAGCTGAGGCAGGAGGATGGTGAGCTGAGGCCAGCCTGGCTACATAGTGAAACTCTATGTAAAACACAAAAACAAGCCGGGTGGTGGTGGCGCACACCTTTAATCCCAGCACTCGGGAGGCAGAGCCAGACAGATCTCTGTGAGTTCGAGGCCAGTCTGGTCTCCAAAGTGAGTTCAAGGAAAGGCGCAAAGCTACACAGAGAAAAACAAAAACAACAACAAAAAAAACCCACAAAAAACAAACCCAAGAAAATCCATTCTATTTGTATCTACAATAAATGAATGAAATGGTGTACAATGTTGGGTGGTGGCGCACGCCTTTAATTCCAGCACTTGGGAGGCAGAGGCAGGCAGATCTCTGTGAGTTTGAGGCCAGCTTGGTCTACAGAATGAGATCCAGGATAGCCAGAGCTACACAGAGAAACTCTGTCTTGGAAAACAAAACAAAAACCAACCAAACAAAAAGAAATGGTATAAAGCAAACATGGTATATAGATTAAGCTGACTTATTTGTAAAAATCAATTTTGATACACTTGTATATATACTTGTAAGTATACTTTGATACTTACCATTTGCAGACAAATATCAGCTGTCACTTTAGCAGCTGTAATGACAAAACTAAGTTTCTGATTCTACTGCCAAAGAGATGGACACGGAAGGACAAAGCAGGCAGGAGCATCACCCTCGTGGTCCCTGAGCACTACCTTAGCAACAGTTGTTTGCCCAAACACCATGACTAAAGCAACCCGAGGAGAAAACTTACAACTTCCAGGTCACACTCCATCACTGGGAGATGGAGGGCAGGAACAGAAGCAGAGACGATGGAGGAGTGTTGCTAATGGGCATGCTCCCCCATGGGCATGCTCTAGCTTGGGCTGAGCATGGTGGCACACACCTTTAATGTCAGAACTTGGGAGATAGAAGCAGGTGGATCTCTGTGTGTTCAAGGCCAGCCTGATCTACATAGTGAGTTCCAAGAAAAGCGGGGCTAGGTAGAGATTCCGAGTCTCAAACAAACAAAGACTCTACCTCATGTCAAGCTGACATAGAACTAGCCATAATAGATGTTTGGAAAGGGTCATAAAAGATTTATAGAAGATTCCACGGTGAGGAGGGCAAACAACTGAGTTTGTCTTTGAATGCAAAAGGCATCTGTTTGTGAGGCATCCATGTCTGTTCAAGAGTGGAATTAAGTGCCTGTAAGATGACTCAGCATGTAAAGGTGGCTAAAGATGACCTAGTTAGATTCTTGGGACCAACAGGCTGGAAAGAGAATGGTCTGTTGCACGCTGTTCTTGACTTCCACATGTGCGCTGTGCCATGATTGTGTGCTCACATGCACACCTAACTAAATAAATGCAATACATTTTTTTCAATGCTTTTTTTTTTAAAGTTATTTACTTTTATTTTATGTGCATTGGTGTTTTGCCTGCAGGTCAGATCTTTGAGTTACAGACAGTTGTTAGCTGCCATGTGGGTGCTGGGATTTGAACCCAGGTCCTTTGGGAGAGCAGTCAGTGCCCTTAACCATGGAGACATCTTTCCAGCCCCTGCAATACATTTTTTTAAAGGGTGGAATTAAGATTCTACAACAGGGGCTGGAGAGGTGGCCTGTGATGACTGTGTCATGAGTCCCCCAGAGACCACCAGGAGTCACGAGTTCGTATGCAAAAGTAAAGAGCATTTGTTGAAAGCTCGAGCTTATGACACAGCAACTGGATCAGGGAGAGTGCTGAGTTCAGTTATGGCAGGGTTTTTAAGGAGTAAAGGATGAGGGGTAAGGAAATTCCAGTTCAGATGGAACTGATTAGGCAGGGGTGAGTTAACAAAAATCTTTCCAAAGAGGGATTGGTAGTGGCATTGCTGTAAGAAAATTGGCAACCTATACATACGTGATGTAAGCTATCCTTTATGTCTTGGAGTATTTAGTACTTGTTTGTCTCAATTCTGATTGGTCCCCTGCAGGGTTTGTGGCTTTTCCTGGTTATTGTAATGGTGAGGCTTAGTCCCAGTGTTGTTAGTCTGCAGCCTGTCGTGGCTGCACTAATGTTAAGTTAGGCCTCTTCATTACCCCCTCTACAAGTAAGTAGAGAGGACACAATCATGGGTCCTGTGGGTCTGGGAGTTCTAGGGATGATATTGAGACCGAAGGACCATGAGTTGGGCTATGTTGACTCTTTCCCGAACAAAGGCCATCAGACTGTTAATCAAGCAAGGTCTTAAGGTCAGTAAGAGGATAAGGATTAGAAGTGGTCTGGCTAGTGCTGACAGTAGGGTGGTTAGCTAAGGAGACCAATTAAAAAGACCCTCATATCATCTAGACTGTTCCTGGATCCCGTTTTTTGTGTTTAATATCTATTTTATGTTGAGGGGAGAGCTAGACCATCATATAGTACCCCTTTCCTGCATTTAGGATCATATTATGAATGCATGGGGTCAACCCAATGTTGTGGGCCCATCATCCAGATGGGGCACTGTAATGAGTTTCATTCTGCATGGTCAAGGTTTTACTTTTGCTGGACTATCTCAGAATGATTGACATGTACGCAGCAGGTTTCCTCCAAAGGGAATTTGCCTTTGACTTAGCACTTTCAGTCTGTTAAGGGGACAGGGATGATGTATTCTCTTCTGTAGCTGCTTCCAGCTAAAATTGGGGTGTTGGTTGTCAGGGCCCAGGAAGGCTTAAAGGCTAGTCAAAGGCTGGGCAATGGGGCATTTATCAGGAGCATCTGATTAGCTGTTCCTAGTGAAGGAACAGGGAGCAATCACATCAGCTGGACTGATTCACATCAGCTTTCAGCAAGTGCAGAGCTCAGAAGTTTGCAGTCCATAGGTGCTCCCTGGGTGATGTCTGTTAAATCTGCTGAGACAAATGTAGACTAAGGACAAAAGTTAAAAGTTTAAAAGAAAACCTTATATTTGGAACTTTTGTTTATCGGGAGTCCATTTGACCTGTGACAGGGGAATT